TAGAGAACATGGCTGCCATAACTGACTTGAATCAATCATGATTGATTCCCCGGGCCTAGACATGTTGCTACACTGAACAAACATGGAATTCTGTTAGGAAGAATGGGGGGGATGCGTGTTGTTTAGGAAGTTAAATTCTTATGTGTATATATGTTTATATAATGTTTTCATAAGCTGATTTTATTTTTTGTTTGTTCCTTTTTGTTTGTTCGTTTGTTTTTTGAGACAAAATCTTGCTATGTAGTTCAGGTTGGCTTTTTTTTTTTTGTCTTTTTGAGTCAGGGTCTCACTATGCAGTTCAGGCTGGTCCTGAACTCACTTTGTAGCCCAGGTTGGTCTTGAACTTGCAATGATCCTCCTGCCTCAGCCTCCCGAGTGCTGGGATCACAGGCATGAGCCACCACATCTGGCCAAGTTGGCTTTGAAATAACTATGTAGCCTAGAATTTGCTGTGATCCTCCTGCTTCTGCTTCCCAAGTTCTGGGATTATGGGTGTGCACCACCATCCCTGGAGTAAATTGATTTTATTTCATTTAATATATCATGGCTATCACTATATGTGAACACACCAATTTCCCCCTTTCTCTCTCTCTCTTTTTCTCTCTCTCCCTCGTTTTTCTTCCTGTATTGAGGATTGAACTCAGGGCCTTTGCACTGAGCTACATCCCAGGAATTTCTGTGCTTTTAAATTTTGAGACAAGTCTTCCAAAGCCACTAAGTTACCCAGGTTGGGCTCAAATTTACAATTCTCCTGCCTCAGCCTTCGAGAGTGCTGGGATTACAGGTATGTACCACCACCCCTGGTTTTACTTTATCCTTTCAAAACAATGTATGATGAAGTTCTTAGGCCTGTACTAATGCCTGCAACTTCCTTTGAAAGGTATGAAACACAATTTAGGCGTTAGATCAGTGGATCAATGGCTTCATAGATGATTAAAATGTGATAAAGCAGAAATAGGCATAGGTGAATTGTGGGCTCTAGGTGCTGTGTATATAGGTCTTCACTGTTATATCCTTTAACATTTTATCTTTCTATTCTTTCAACTTTTCATATACCATATTTGAATATTTTTATAGTAAAAATTTGGAACAGTATTAATGAAATTGAATAATCATACATAAATGTGTAAGTATGCAAAAATAAATTGGAAATGATCCTCTCTGCTATAAAATTGTGATTTTTTTAGGACATGTGTTTAGTTTTTCAATACAATTTTATAGATTAAAAAGCAAATGTTATTGTTCTATGGAGTATGTCCATGATTTGAAGAGATTAATATGGGTATATAACATTATAAATGTTCCTGAATGTATTTGTAATTGAAAACAATATTGTGGCAATTTTTATCTTGTTTTTCCAACCCTTCACATAATTTTACCTCTACAGGTACTTGGGAATTTTGATAGAATGCCTCTGCAAAAATACAGAGCACTCAACTTCACCTTTTACTTATCTCCTACCCTGTTGGTTAAACAGGGAATGGGTATGTTAACTGGAAAGGCCACACAGGTAAACTGAATACTGATCGTATCCACAGTTGTTTTACAACCTGACCTCTTGGCCCAGCAATGAGGCAATCTTGAGCCAGAAGCACTGAGGAAGCCCAGGGATGAGATACATGGTGGATGGGTGAGGGAGATAAATTAGCTTGGAAATTGGTGTGGAAATAATTATAAAACCTCTGGGAGCCAGGCATGGTGGTGTACACCTGTAATCCCGGCACTCTGGAGGCGGAGGCAGGAGAATCGTGGCGAATTCGAGACCAGCCTGGGCTACAAAGTGAGCTCAAGGCCAGCCTGAATGCATAACAAGACCCTGTCTCAAAAAGACAAAAAAAAAAAACCTCAAGGAAATGTAAAAGGACTAGCAAATAGGGTAAGTAGCCAGCTGGGCCAGCGCAGGAATGAGGAAAGAGGTGGAGGTAAATAGAGAAGTTAGAGAGGGGTTTGTCACTAGTTCTGTGAGACTGGAGGGCAGAGAAACTAGTAAATTTACACCAGGAGGGTGGAGTGTTTATGCAGTTGTATAGTTTGGAAGAGATAAGCGCCAAGAAAAGGAAATACCTGTACTGAAAGTGGGAAATGGGTGGAGTTTATAGGGCTGGAGTGTTGCTTGTGTACTGCAGAGAGAAGGTTAAGCCAGTGTGCATGGGTGGAAGTATCCAGTGGACCCAACGGCCTTGGACCTTAGAGAGTATGGACAAGGGTGGCCCTGGCCCCAAGAAGAGGATGAAGCTGACTGCATTGTTTAGCACTTCCAGAACAGTGCTGAATAATACCTGTGATCTCTGGGAGTGTGGTGGTACATCCCTGAAATAAGGCAGGAGGATCTCGAGTGTGAGCCCATGCTGGGCAACTTAGCAATTTAAGGAGGGGTAGGGTATGTAGCTCGGTGGAAAGGCCCTGGCTTCAATGCCCAGTAACACACACACACACACACACACACACACACACACAGACACACACACACAAAGGCATTCTTGCCTTGTTCTTGGCATTAACTGAAATGCCAGGTATATCATGTTAATTTTAGTTTGGAGGCAGATATTCTTTGTCATGTTAAATAAGTAGCATTCCAGGCCTATTTCACTTATGTATTTGTTTCCAGATCAGTGGAATTCTTCAGCATCAAAGTGATGGATGTTTTTCTTTGACCCATTACAATGATCATTATCATCATAGCTTTACCTGCTTTTGGACTAACTTTATATTTCTGAGAAAAATTATTTGATCCTTTATAAATTTCTTATTCTGTAGATTTTATTTGCTAGTAGTTTAAGATGTTTTACCTATGTTAATAGGTGAGACTCATATAGTTTCCTTTAGTACTATCTTCATCAAGTTTAATATGTTTGCACTAGGTCACTAGGTTTGTAAATTTTCCTCTTTCTTTTCTCTGGAAACATTTATATGGCGTAGAAATGATCTGTTCCTTGAAGGTGTGAGTAAATGGCCTGTGAAACCATCTTTGTGCAGTACTTTGGCAGTGGAGGGGCGGGTAGATCTCTGGTAATTTAAAAGAGTAACACACATATACATGGTAAAAATTTCAAACTGCATGAAAGATCCGCAATGAGTAGTCCTCCTGGTCATACAACGGGCCACTCCTCCTTTGAGTCCATTCATCCCACATTACCAGAGACCCTCAGTTTCTCTCTCCAGAGGCAACCAGTTACCAGTTTCTTGTGAAGCATTCCTTGTGGAGCAATTCCCTATTTTTCAGATCCCTTACTTTTTAACCCAAAGTATAAAACCTGTCCATCTTGCTTTTTATATATTTTTAAATTTTTCTTTCAAAAACTTTGTCCCGCTAAAATTTCCTACTTTCTTTCTGAGTCTATTTTGATTATTTCTCTAGGAGACCATTTCCTCAATATTTTTGTTATTTTCAGAGTTTTACACTATAATGACTTGAAATTTAGAACAACCAATAAAATTCTCCATGCTTACTGGTTTAAATATTTATCCCACTTCTAGTACAAAGTTTCCAAGCAACTTTGACCAAGTCCTGCTGTACTGGAGATGTCCACGTTCTGACTGACAGAAGGTAATGAGTAATTGCATTAAAGAATACTGAAATAATTTGGTAATTTTGTGAGATACATTTCCAACTAAAAGCAGAATAGTATCTATTTTAGGAGTTTGTTCCTATGCAGCCTCCTTCCTTTACAACCATCCTTCCTGTTTTTTTTTTTTTAAGAGCACCACACCCAACCAGTTACATAAGGAAAATGAGCACTGATAGTCTATAACCCGAACATTGAGTGGCTTGACGATTGTTTTATGGCCTGCCCTCCTCTTAAGGCCATCTTGAAACAAGTGGTTAAGAGGCCAAGAGATAAGGTTAGGGTGAGAAGTTGAGGTTTTGTGGTTAGAGACAGATAACTAATTTTAGAGGTTGGCAAGGAAATGGAAGAGGCTATTTTAATCAAGGGCTTCAGGAAAGTGGGAAGGGAGTTGGTGATGGATAATAAATGAGAAAGTAAGGGGAAGGAGAATGGGGAGGAAGGCCTAGGCTGTGCTTGGAGCATTTGGAACATAATATTCTTTTGTACTTTTTTTTTTAAAAGGTTTCATACATACTGACCTAAATTTTACTATCACGTCCACATGTACTGGTGCAAGTACTGGAAATGATTTTTGCCTGATATACTGTAACAACACTTAAACAAAACAAAGTGACAACACCCCAAAAAAGCTCCATTAAGTTTGGAAATTTTGTTTCTCCATATTTTTCCTCAAGCTAATCACAGTACTTGGGTGCTTTCCTTGATTGTCTATGCAAAAATATAACCGACTTTTATTTCATATCCATTTCCCATCCTGTTGGTTAAATGCTTAAGCTAGTCCAGTCACACCCCTAAATGTCACTTAGGTGTCCTGAATACTGACTGCATCAGCTATGGCTAGACTGTCTGACCTCATCGAACATGAGGCCAGGGGCTGAGGCCGCCATGAAAGCTCAAGGATGTGGCTGGGATCCACGGGCTTTTCCTTTTCTTTTCTTTCTCTCCTTTCCTTTTAGTGGGTTGATGCAAAGACAGTATGGAGGTTTCTAAAAGTCAAGGTGGTGGAAGCGGCTAGGTAGCACGATGAGAAGCTCAGGGAAAAAGTGAGGCAGGGGCGACAGCGGGAGGTTGGTCAGGGAAGGGCTGGTCCCTTTGTTAGCAGATAGTTGTTAGGTGGCTGGGGGAGAGCGGGAACACGATTTTCTTCGGAAGCGCTGTGCTAGGGAGACGGGCACCGGGAGCCAACTCCGGAGAACTGCAAAGGGGTGTGGGGATCAGTGGGCAGGGAAGGGATCGGAGAATCCAGGTTGAGCTTTGAGGGCAGAGCGTGTCTAGCGGGGCTGAGCAAAGATCTCATCCACACTTCCGGAACGCAGACTGCAAAGAACCCGGAGACCTGTCCGGGGTGACTAGCCCTTGCCCGGCGCCTCTCGCAGACGCGGCGCCTTTCGGTGACGCACCCCGACGCTATGACGCACTGCCGCGCCTCCACGTCGCAGGTGCCGCAAAGGCCTGTGGGAACTACCCGAGAGGAAGGCCAAGATGGCGGAAGCGGCGGAGTCTCCGGGCGACCGGGGGACAGCGTCGCCCAGGCCCCTGGTGAGCTTGGGAACTGCGACAAAAGGGACCGAGGGTGAGGCAGAGTGCCCCCAGGGAAGTCGGGGGACGGGCTTGTAGCCCAAGAGAGCTGGAGCCCCTGCTCCTGAAAGGCCCTTTTGCTGTACCGAGTGCTAGAACTAGTCCCAACACTGCACCTATTCCGTCGTAACAGGTTTTCCCCCTCCCCACTGCGTACCTTCTAGTCTTCTGGTGAAACTCCTCACCCCTTTCCTGCCCCGTCGTCGCAGGGCTTGGCTTCGACCCCTACATCGTGTTAAACGCAGAGCTTTAGGTGATACCTTTTCTCTCATTCTCCCCTGATACTATCACAGCTGGTCACCAGCCCTGTTGGAGCGGCAACATTGTAGAAGCAATGAGGGATTGCTTCCCATCGAACGTTGGCGTTTTATTGCTTATAACTCGAGGCTTTACTTGTTTAGTGGCCCCAGTAGGCTGTTTCACCCTAGCACCTTGCCATCTTCGGGATACTCTCTTGAAAGGGATAGAATTTCTACTGTCGGTACAAAGTCCAAAGCCCGTTCTATTTGAGAACACAGGTTTTACAGTTAAACTTACCTGAGCCGGAATCCACTCATTCTACTACCACGTGTATGATATTGGGCAAGCCCTTTCATGGAGGGTGATTCTTCGTAGTCTGGTGGAGACCGGTGTCAAAGGGTTTTTAGGAAGTTCAAATGACCTAATTTATGTAACATGTCTAATAATCTGTGCCACGAACTGAGGAGTCTTAAGTCAGTGTTCTGCCCCGGTGCCTCTATTCCCAAATAGTGTACAGTTATGTAGTACTTGCTCAATAAATGCTATTTCCATTTCCTCCCTTTTAAATTGCCATCTTAACACAGGAGAGAACTGAACTAGGGGGTCAAGAGAATTTCATCCTAGACTTGCTGTTTCCTAGCTCTATTTGTTCACCACTTCTTTCATTCAGCAAATATTTACTGAGTATCCACTATGTTCCATTCACTTTCCTGGCCACTGGGGACATAGCAATGAAAGAACGAGGTGGGGGATAAGGGTGGAGTCCTAGCCTAACATGTGGAATGAAATCTAGATCCTTATTTGGAAAATAGTGAAAGAAACTGATTACAGAATTAGTGAAGGGACTGACTGAGCGAATGTACAGCAAGTGCCTACCCTGGTATAGTTAAAGATGCCTGGCTGTTCAATAGCTAGCTATTTATTCATCCACCCCATCCCCTCATTGCTTTCCAGGAAGCTTTCATGAATTAATTTAGTGGTTCTGGTCACTCATTACTCAGTATCCAGTCTACTTCTATTCAATAAATGTTTGTTGAACTTCCGTAATGAATAATGCACTGTGCTAGTTGCTATAGGGAATGCAAAGGGCCTGCTCCTGTGGTGCTTATGGTCCAACTTGTAAGGATGATATAAAAATATACACTGCTAAAATAAGGCTGTATATAAGAGAAAATTACACATGAAATATTAGGGAAATTTAAAAGAAAATGCTGTTATGTCCAATTGAGATGATCAAGCTTCATGATAGAAGTTATATTTGAGAGGGCCTCAGGATGGGTATGATCTGAAATTCCAAGTGACGATAAGAGTTATCAATGATTGAGCATTTGCTGTGTGCCAGGCATTGAGCTCAACATCCTCTGCATAATTTCTAAACTTCATAGTATTCATTTCAGTGAGGTGGCTTTTAACTATGTTTTACTTATAGATGAAACAATGAGATACAGAGGGGTTTAACTTGCTTAGAGTCTGCATCCAGTTAGTGGCCAAGCAAAAAATTGGAACCTAGATCTAACTGAAGCCTGGACTGTTTCTGCTTATGTTACTTAGCCTCTCATGGATGAAGGCACAGAGATTGCAAAGTGCTAACGTATTTATAGAACAAGGCATAGATCACTTTGACAAAACCCCGGGGAACTATTAGGAGGCAACCCTTAAAAGGTAGCCCTACTGAACCAGGGGTGCAGTATGGAACTGTGGTAAAGAAAGTTTATTCTGAGGTCAAATTGTCTAGGTTTGATTTGAATCACTGTCACTTGAGGAAATTGGGATATTGGGGGAAATTAATAAACTCTGTGCCTGCTACCCATCTAAGCTTTACAGATACTGCAATACTTGGTTCATTGGTTTGTTAGTGGATTAAATGAATTAACACTTCTCTCTTGGTTTTTTTTTTTTTTTTTTTTTTGGTCTTTTTGAGACATGGTCTCACTGTGCAGTTCAGGCTGGCCTTGAGCTCACTTTGTAGCCCAGGCTGGTCTTGAACTTGCAACGATCCTCCTGCCTCAGCCTCCCAAGTGCTGAGATTACAGACGTGCACTACCATTCCTGGCCTCCTCTCTCTTTTTTTGCTAAGGATGCCTTCAAGGCATCATCAGTTTCACATTCCTCTACTGTTACCTTCGACTTAGGGTGAGTGCTTGGTTGTTCACAGTGTTCCTGTGAATGTTCTGTTGTTCATTGCCTGCTTTTGGCCCCAGGTCTCATAGTGGTTCTCTTGAAGCTCCTCGCTCAGGGATGGCAAACGTTTTAGAGCTTTCACCGGTACAAATAGCCTGGTGTGGCACATGTGCCATAGATTCACCACCTCCCTCAACAGTAGACTGCCGTTGCTTGCTACTCTTTGTTTGGCAGCTTGATGGTAGGGACAGGTAGGGGTGATTACTTGTTCTCATAATCCAGCCTCTACCTTAGGACTGCAGCGTGTCTCCGAGTTTCCTGTGTGGGACTTTCTCACTGATCCTATTTCTCCCCCAGCTTAAGGGAACTAATGGTGTCCTATCACTCCCTCAGGAGTAGAGGTAGTTTTCTTTTCCTTTTCCCCGGGCAGAATGAGTCTTTCCCTCTGCTCTGGGAGCAAAAGAATTTGTTGTCTTTCCCTGAGTAGCTTTAGGACTCTCACTGTCTGAGAAGAAGGTCTAGGTAGAGTTCTGTGCTTTTCTCCAGTGGCCGCTGCTTCCTCAGCATTGTGCTCCCACTACTCTTTCTTTTGAGCATGCAGTGGAGGTCTGCAGAACAGCCTGTCAGTAGCTGTGAGCATCCCTTGAGTCTGTTTTCAAGGATTCCTTACTTTCATAGTGACCTTTAGCAATTTATTTAAAATTTTAGCTGAATCCTTTCCCATCTGTGTAGTGCCTAGTGTTGTCTTTCCATGAAAAATACAGTTGACTTAGTGTGGATGTCCTGTCTCTTTTTGGAAGCACTTGTCTTTCCTTATAGTTCATATCCAAGCTGCTTGGTTGCCTTGACCACCACAGCTCTCTGATAGCTTCCAGGAAAATTACGATTTTGTAGTTTATCTAGTCTTTTTTCATTGTTCTGGTGAGGAAATGCGCTTTTCAGCTTACTCTATCTAGTTTGAAGTCAAATTATAACATTAGAAATCATTTGAAGTAGTTCTCTGTGTGTTTGTGTATTTAATTCACTATACAGTAGGTTTATTTGTTTAATATTTCTGTTTTAGGGATTGCTGTGTTTAAGTTTCAATTTTGTTTCATAATTATGTGAACTATTTAGGTGATTTCAAGTCATCTACACAGAACAATGAATATTCAAAGAAGCCTACTTTCTCTTCTGCTCTACAACTTCATTCCCTACTTCTTTCTATAGGAAACCTTTAAAAAATGATAGAACTTATTCATTGTTTCTTAAAAAATATTATGAGCATGGTTGAGAAGTTATTTTTCATAAACTCTTCAAACTACCTCATTCAAAGATTTTACTGTAATTTCTTGTATTTCATTTATGTGCAACAATTGTCTACTAAAAATTGTCCCCACTGGGCCAAAAACTGTGTGAGAAAGGATTACTTCTGGATTTTTTAAAAAGGAATTTGTAAATTCTAGAGTTTCGATCATGGTAATCAAATTTAGCAGATGAATATAAGAATTTAACAATTCAGATTCTTTATCCACTGTTAAAATTGTCTCTGATCTGTGGTTGCCAGGTAGTCTGGTAAAAAGAATATAAATCAAGGTATTTATATTACTGTTTCCATTTACATTTCATGTAATACTCCTCTTTATCCAGCAGAGGCCACTAAAGCCACTAAGGAACCTAAGTCTAATAGAAATTAGCATTTCTGACATCTGAGTGCTAAAAGATCACTTTTTAATAGCTCCATAGCTATTATCTCTGTCTTGCTAGCTTGTCTGATTTAGGGATTTCATGCTGGAAAGAAACTAAATATTTGAGGGCAGGAAAATGTGGCATTTACTTTAAGTGTTTTTTCAACTGAATTGTTTAATGTCTGTTGAGCTAACACCTACTTTAACTACTCTGCAAAACCCTGCAAAAAGACATGGTCCGCTATTTTGTAAAATGTCGGTCTGTTAGTATTTTCCTCGTTTTATTTCTAAAATAAAAAATAGAAAAAAAATTTAAAAAAAAGACATGGTCCGTATTGTAGGAAATGATGATGTCTTTGAGGAATACTCCAATGTATTACAGATTTAATTTTTTCTCTCTATCACTTCTCAGTTTGCAGGCCTTTCAGATATATCTATCTCACAAGACATCCCAATAGAAGGAGAAATCACCATTCCTATGAGATCTCGCAATCGAGAATTTGACAGCTCCACGTTAAATGAATCCGTTCGGAATACTATTGTAAGTTAGATTAGTTGAGAGCTTCTCTTCAGTGTCACAAAACTAAGTTACTGCAGTATTTTTGTTTGGTTTATTGATTTTCGCTATATTTTATTTGTGGGAGTTTAAGATTCTCTCCTAGAAAATAATCTGGCACAGTTATTTTTTGTGGTTTTTTTTTTTTTTTTGGGTACTGAGACTCAAACTCACAACCTCACGCTTGCCAGGCAGGCACTGTGCCCCTGAGCTCTATCCCTGGCCCCGTCTGACACAGTCTTTGAAGAGTAGTTGGCTACAGTGGATACTAAGAATTTTAAAATGTCCAGAATTTTAAAATGATTTTGCTTTTCTGTAGCATAGTGAAAAATTAAAAAGTTAAAAAATAATTTGGAAATAAAATAATTCAATAAACAAAGGTGTCCATTATACCATTCTCTGTAATAGAAGAAAATTGGAAACAATCTATATCGGTTAAGTTAAATGTATTATGTACATCTGATGGAATGCCAAATAACCATTAAAAATTAAAATCTAGGATAGAGTCATCTCCATTATATTTTGAGAAGTTATATTTGCATTACTGAATCCTTCTTCAAATGTCTTGCCTGATTCATTTAGCAATTAAATTGTGAGTGTTAGAACTTAATATATTTTATATGTTACAAAGAATGTGGTAGCTAAGGACCAGGCTAATTGGCCTTTGGGGTCTTATCATGTATGAGCTGAATGTCCCATTCTGTGTTTTGCTGAGCAGCTTTTCATAATTATTTTATTTAAGTATCATATTGGGAAGGCTCTTTTTCTTTACAGAGTTTTCAAAATCAAAATAGAACTGGTAGTTGTGGAAAAATGTTGAATATTGATTTGAGTTAACAGAAAAACCATACTCTCAACTCTTTGGTTTATTTGTGTAGTGAAAGAGTTGAACCCCAAAATTCAATGAAGGCTAGCTCCTAGGAGATTGAAAAAAAAAAAAGAAATTTTAGCAAATTAAGTGAAGGGGTTACCGGGTAACCTTGGTCATTGCAATATAACACGTTGTTTGTGTCTTTCAGATGCGTGATCTAAAAGCTGTTGGAAAAAAATTCATGCATGTTTTATATCCGAGAAAAAGTAACACTCTTTTAAGAGATTGTAAGTGTATGAAGTTTCTGAGGGTTTGCTTAGTCTCATTGTACCTTATATTAGTACTTTATAAGGCAAAGGCTCTATGATAATAACTGACATCATTTTTCAAGATGAAAATATGTAAATGAAAATTTTGGAAGAAATTTAGAATGGAATTTAGAGGTTAGCAGATTTTGTTTATTATCTTTATTAGCAAATAAAAGACTGTTTATCCTCACCTGGAAAATGCTCTAGGAGATGCTACCAAAAAATATTTCCATAGGCTGCAAATATATAGGGACTTTGTTCAACCAGAGAACTAACAATTTTCAAGGGAAAAGCAAATGTTAAATTGCAAATACCTGTTAATGACTAATAAATTAATAGTACCTTTATTGATATTTCTGTTTTCAAGACTATCATTTAGTCTGATGACAGCTTTCTTTGTTAAAGAGTTCTATCAAAACCACAATAAATTTTTCTTAGAATTTTTCTTAAAATTAGTAGGTTTCTTGTTTTTCTTTTCAAGCAGTTTTTATTCCTTATCAGAAAAAACATTTGTTTGAGATCAGTAACAATGATGTCATACATGAGTGTACCTTCTATTTCAGCTGTAATATAGGGATGTCAAGAAAGTGACAAGTGTGCCATTACTCTGTGGAGACAGGAGGCAGTATCCAAATTTTTCTGCACTGTGAACTGGAGCTCATGATTTACGAATGATTTGCAATGTGCCTTAGTTACTTTTCTCATTGCTGAGACAAAATACCTGATGCCCAAAGTTAAAGGGAGAAAGGTTTATTTAGCTCACAGTTTGTAGAGGTTTCAGTTCATAGTTGGCTGGCACCAGGGCAGTATGGCATGGCAGAGGGGGATCACAGAGGAGAAACAGTTCATAGCAGGCAGAAGACAGTAAAAGCAGTAGGCAGCGGACAACCACAGCTCTTTCTGTCCCTTTTGTCTTATCTAGGCTACTTAGGGCAGGTAACCCTCACGCCTTTAATCCTGCTGCCCTGAGCCTAGCATTGCACCACGAATCAATGCCAGTGTCACGTACTGTAGATCTAGCCACCTCTAAAAAAGCCCCGCCTATGACTGCCTGAGGCTTTGAGGGGACATCTAGACACAGGCCATAACACTGTCACTGGTGTAGTGGAAAGAGCATGGGCAAATCTGGGTTTGAATAGTGGTGACATGACTAGGTCTGTGATCTTGAATAAGATAGTTGACTCTTCTGGGGCTCAAGGTTCTTTACCTGTTAAAGTAGAGGTAATAAGATGGTAACATGTATAAATCATCTAGTATGGTATCTGGCATTCAGTAGGCACTCCATAAATGGTAGCTATTATTCTATGTCTGCACACATATGAATGTTATCTTATTTAATCCTTACTACCACCTTGTGAAAGTTATTGTTACGGTTTTACAGATAAAATAAGCTTCAGAGAGGCTCTCCGCGACTTGTTAAGATCTCACAGGCAGGATTAGAACACAGTTTTCAAGTTTCGTACCCTTTCCACTTTACTACTACTGTCCCGGATGTGAAGATATCTTTTCATTTACTACTGTGGCTCAGTTCAGAGCATGGTGGCTTCAGTCACACTTCAGAACCAATGTGCTAGTTTAATTAGTGATGTGCATTAGCTAATTAATGATGTATATTAGCTATTTTGCATGTGAAGGTGTACTCCTAAACCTTATGGGGAGAGAAATTAGGCTGGCATAAAGGCTAAGTCATGACTAGAAATTTGCACTTTTGTGTTTTTGCCCTACTTTGTTATCACAGCCTATGGCAAAGTGGCAGGGGGGGAAATTCATGACTTAAAAATAGTTTTTAAAAAAAGCCACAAAAGCTGGCCATGGTGGCACACGCCTGTAATCCCAGCACTCGGGAGGCTGATGCAGGAGGATCATTGCAAGTTTGAGACCAACCTGCGCTGCAAAGTGAGTTCAGGACCAGCCTGAACTGCACAGCAAGACCCTGTCTCAAAAAGACAAAAAAAAAAAAAAAAAAAAAAAAAAAGCCACAATGAGGGATCACTTCACACCCATTAGGATAGTTATTATGAAGAAAACAGAAAGTAGCAAGTGGAACAATTGAAGCCCTTGAAGCCCAATTGAAGAAGGAAGTAGAGCAATTGGAGCCCTTTACATTGCTGATGAGAAGGTGAGATAGTACAGTTGTTGTGAAAAACAGCAGTTCCTCAAAAAATTAAACATAGAATCACCAGATGATTCATTATTCCATTTCTAGATGCATACCCAAAAGTATTGAAAGTAGGGACTTGAGCAAATAGTTATACCTGTCTATTGAGCATTATTCATAGTGACTAAGAGGTGGAAACAACCCAAACATCCACTGATTGATAAACAAAATGTGGTATACCATGGTATATACCATATGTGAATGGAATATTATTCAGCATTTGCTAAATGATAACAAGCCAGGCACCAAAGGACATATATGGTACTATTAGGTATCTAGACAAGTTGATGCATAGAGATTGAAAATAGAATAATGAGAGCCAGGGGCTTTGGTGAGGCTAGGAATGGGGAGTTATTGTTTAGTGAGTTAGAGTTAATTTGGAAAAATGAAAAAGTTCTGAAGAGCGATGGAGGTGGTGGTTGTACAACAGTATGAGTGCACATAACGCCACTTAACTGTGTGCTTAGAAATGGTTCAAATTACAAATTTTGTGTTACATATTTTATAACAATAAGGAAAGAGCCAAAATAGTTATGGAATTTTATGAATTAAAAAATTTTCAGTGCATTAAAAGTTTTATTAATATCTTTATACTTGAATTTATTTCTTCAATTAATATGTTAAAATTTAATAAGGTCAATAATTATTAGAGTAGTAGGATTATGATTTTTTTTAACCTCTTTCCCAAACTCTCCACATTGGTGTCAGAATTACTCATATAGCGGGGCATGGTGGTGCATGTCTGTAATCACAGCATCGGGAGGCTGAGGCAGGAGGTTCGTAACAAGTTCGAGACCAGCCTGGGCTACAAAGTGAGCTCAAGGCCAGCCTGAACTGCATGGCGAGACCCTGCCTCAAAAAGACCAAAAAAAACCTTATATAACTGAAAAAAAGAACAAAGTTTACCTCAGGTAAAGATACATACATACGAGATTCAAGTTAGATGTGGGATGTATACACTTTTTTAGGTTAGTTGAGGAACATAATTTTGCTCTAAAGCTGTGTGTTGCTGAACTCTTGACATACTAGTCACTCACCAGCTATTAATCTAGCTGTTTGCTAGATCTGATGTTGGCAGAGCATTTTATAGTTTTCAGAAAGCTTTCACATGCTATTTGTTAAAGTTTGACCTTGTGAAATTACCAATACTGGACTATTTTTTCACCTAGAAGAACAGTTCCTTTAGTTCAATATAATAATTATAAAAGGGAACTAATCTGGGAGAGTGGCAAGAATTTTGGACTAAGAATGAGCAGACCTAGGTTCTGATCCCATCTCTACCTATATAGTTGGCAAAGTTGCTTCTTTCACAGTTCCGTGTTTTGTGTTTGTAAAATGAGCGATACTATCTTTGTGTTGTCTATTTCCCGTGCAAGTACTAACCAGGCCTGACACTGCTTAGCTTCTGAGATCGGGCGTGTTCAGGGTGGTATGGCCGTAGACTGCCTTGTCTGTCTAATACAGCCTCATGTTGACGGAGTGACTTGGATGTGATCTTTTTTCTGAGGATGCAGGGTGGGACACCTAGTTCTTGTACCTGCTGGCCCTTTGGTCTTTAATTACAGTATGCTGGAATGTGGCTTAGTGGGTAGAGAGGGGTGATTTGTGGGCTGTGAAGTGAACAGAACTTAAGAGATATATGAAAAACTGTATTCTGAATTAGAGAGCAAAGGGTAGGTAGGGGAATAGGAGAGATCAAAAGGCTTGGGCAGACAGAGCCTGGATGTCTAGATTCCAAGAATGGGAGGTAGATATTGGAATAAAGATAGAAAATACTGCATGTATGTTTCTTAGTAATATTTTATCTTTCCTTGCCTTGTAGGGGATTTGTGGGGCCCTCTGATCCTTTGTGTGACACTTGCATTGTGAGTATTTATATTTCCTTTATTTGTCATTTGAGCCAGACTAGACTTTTTTGTGGAGATTTAAAACTGAGGGGAATTTTTGACCAAGTATTTTACTTAGGAGTTCTGTTGCTTACTGCGCTTACTATGTATTTAATGGAAAGAGCCAAAAAGCTTTCCAGTTCAATTAAAAGTGATAAAGTTTAATATGTGAAAAGTATGGCCACTTTTGTTTACAATGACTGCTTAGTCAGTTTTAGCCACATCTATTCAACAGATATTTATTTGCTCTCATATACCTCCTCATCATTAAACCAAGTGAGTGAAATAGTTACAGGTTTAAACATTGCTTATTTACAAGCATAATTCTCTTTAAATCTTATTAAAATATGAATAAAAATAAATTAAACTACAAGTGGTAGAATTAAAAGCTAGATCATGTCTCACACTGTTACGCTTTCCCATTTCTGGTGTGTACAAAGGGGGAAGACAGGAGCGGAAGGTTCCATTGCAGAGGGGAATATAACCACTGAGGAGTGGTAAAAATACTGCGCTAGGATTCAGTTCTGGCTTGTTATCCTGGCTCTGCTATCAGCTGTCTGTGTGACTTTGGGCTACTAATAACTGAAGTTTATAAAGTGATTTTTTCATCTTTACAGAAAATTTTAAAATACCGTCTTATTTTATCCTCATAACAAAGACTTAGTATTATTTTCCCTTTTTGACAAACAAGCTCAGGTTCAGAGAGGTCATGGCCTTAACCAAAACCGTATAATCAATGCTACACCTAGAATTCAACCTTGGGTTTTTGACTGCCTATTCTCTGCCTCTGTCATTACACTCCTTCCCACCTAACCCTCTGGATCTCCTTTTCCATATCTGTAAAAGGATGTGGTTGACAGGCCTAATCCTTTACAGTTCTGACTGCAAGAAGTTGGCTCTTAAATTGTGTGTGTGTGTGTGTGTGTGTATGTGTGTGTGTGTGTTGGTGCTAGGGAGCAAACCAGGGCCTTGTTCATGCTAGGCAAGCATTCTACTAGTGAATTACATCCCCAGCATCCTCAGCCTCTTCTAATTTTTTCCCCCATGCTGGCCATCAAACCTAGTGCCTGCACATGGTTGGCAAGTGCCCACCAACTGAGCTGTATCCCTAGCCCTGAGTTTTCAATTTAAATTGAGCATATGCTAATTTAGATCATAATATAGTATCTTTCTTAAGATACTTCCTTTAATAACTATATCAAGGGAATCAGTTCAGTGCCTTGATAGAAGGGTTTATATTAGAAGCTCTTAACCCCACTTAACCAGAGTCCTAAGACATCTTTGACAGAACTAGGATCAGTGTCTAGGTTTCCTGCCTTTCAGACCATTACATATTCTTTTCATCATACCATGCTAAAGCAGTAGGATTCCAGATAATAAATGAGTGCTGGCATATTTTTTGCATCTGATTGTCAAGACTTGGAATATGCACAACTATAGAATATAACATGATGTACATACTGGCGAGCAGCATAGCTGGCCAAGATTTATTGTGTGACTTTTCCATATGATGTAATAAGAGGAGGTTCTGAGCTTCCTATAATTTATCATTTTTTGGGAGAAAACCCAAGTCCAAGTATTTTAAATCCAGAATTCAAAGCTTTTTACATCTGTAAGATTATTAGACAAAGGATATTTAAGTAACTGTTTACTCAGTTTCAAAGCAAAGTCACTTAGTAATGATCTACATGTTTTGATTTAAAAAAATTAGCAACTGACTGGGCACAGTGATACATACCTATAATTTCAGCATTCTGGGAGGCCGAGGCAAGAAGATTGCAAGTTCAAGCCCAACCTGGGCAACTTAGAAACTTAGCAAGACCCTGTTTCAAAATTTAAAAAGAATACAAAAAGGACTGGGGATGTAGCCCAATGAGAAAACCTTAGGTTCAATCCCTACTAACCCCCCCCCCCACAAATGGCAACTAAATAGATTTATAGGCTATTTCCATTTTTAAGTATCTGACCTAAAACTTTAACCCCAAGAATTACAAATCAGATACATCTAATAGAGAAGTAACCTGAATGCACGTGGTCATGACCTTTGATTCCGGATCAGCTGCACCTGATTTTTGTCATGCTGGAATGCAGGTTTAGCATGAGAAAGTCATCTAGGTTTTTTTTTTGTTTTTTGTTTTTTTTCCTCCGGTACCAGGAACCGAACTCACGACCTTGCGCTTGCCAGGCAGGCGCTTTTGCCGCTGAGCTAAATCCCCAGCCCCGTCATCTAGGTTTTTAAGAAAATCTATAAATATGTATTTCCCCATCTCCCCACCTTTTGTGGTACTAAAGATCAGGCCCATGGTCTCATGCATGTTAGGCAAGTGCTGTATCACTGAGGTATAACCCCAGCCCAGGAATTACATATGTGAAGCCTCCCAATTTTATTTTATTTTTTTAACATACATTTATTTATTTATTTGTCTTTTTGAGACAGGGTCTCGCTATGTAGTTCAGACTGTCCTTGAGCTCATTTTGTAGCTCAGGCTGGGCTTGCACTTGTGACAATCCTCCTGCCTCAGCCTCCCAAGCGCTGGGATTCCAACTTTAAAATAATGTCAAATAAAAGTAAAAACTATTTCAATTATTGTATGAACCAAGATCCTTGTCTCCAAGCCACATTTGCCCCTTCAGGTTATAACCTCTGTTTGAACTAAAAGGTCTTCAGTAATTCATTAAACATTCCAGCAAAGTCCAGCGGAACACCCCTTATACTCCTGAAGCATTTGGAATTTGAAGGAAGGGAGCTGTGCCAAATACTTCTGGCATTTTCCTTTCAGTGTGATCTATATATCAGATGTTCAGATGAGGTACAGCACAGCACTTTGATTCAGAGTGTGAGAACCCATACCTTCATTCTGCTCTAAGGACAAAATTAGGCAGTTCTCATACTGTTTACTTATAGAATGTTGCAGAGAGGCTCTGTGGATAGTGAAAAAGATGGAGGACCCCAATTTGCAGAAGTATTTGTCATTCTCTGGTTTGGTGCAGTCACCATCACCCTCAACTCAAAACTTCTTGGAGGAAATATGTGAGTATCATTAAAGTATATCTTTTCTTTTCCTTTGTCAGGTAGCATATCTTATATTTTAAGGAACCAGGCTATTTAGATTTTTTTTAGAAGAAAACTCAAAGTAAATGGGGACCAAAGAAAAAGTTCATTTAAACCACTGAATAGAGGTAAACTAATTGAATTAAATTACTTTAAAATTACTTGGGTGTCCTTTGATAAGCTTCAGACGTTCTCTCCAGCTCCAGAAATCACAGGCAGATTTTTACATTTTGCGGGGAACTGATGGTCCCTAGCTTTCAAGAAATTCTCAAATAGTTGTGTAACTAGAGGTAATTAAGGACCACCATCTTAGAGATTGAGTGGAAGAAGGAAGTCTCTTAAGTATTAAGATAGATCATCTAGTATTAGGTATTAAGGTAGATCATCTGGTATTAAGTATAGATTATCTGGTTTGAGAGGGGAAGAGGAGTATGGGGAGGGAAGGTGAAAGCATGTGCTGAAAGCAGAGGACTAACCTCATAAAGCTGATGTTCAGGTATAGATATAATGCATCAAAAGGGAGCCGACAATCCATGATGTATAGGAATCTATGTGATCAGCTGTATCATGATACCATTCAGCCATACTTACGATCTTTGTGGATGTATGCTGTTCTTAGATCTTTTTTCCAGAGCCTCTGTGTGCTGGGTTACTGCATACTTCCTTTGACAGTGGCGATGCTGATTTGCCGCTTGGTACTTCTGGCAGAACCAGGACCAGTAAACTTCACGGTTCGGCTTTTTGTGGTGATTGTGATGTTTGCGTGGTCTATAGCTGGTAAGTATATACTTATCCCTATAGTAGCAGAATAGACCAAAGCATGAATTAAAGATGAAGAGCAGATAAGGAGCAAAGTCCTCTGTGAGTGGTATGATTTCTACCAGTATCATCCATAGAACCCCCTGCTCTAAGCAGGCACCACTAGGGATGGTATCCCTTGTATCTGAGTTGAGTATCTGGACATATAAGATGTAAAGAGTCCCTTTTTTTTCTTGAATAATGGACAGGGTTGGGTAAGTAAATTACACTAGAATTAGCTCAGTTCTGATATATATGAGACATAAATGACTTGTGAAATGACTTGGACGTTTTCCTAATAAATTAAATCATTGTAAAAATAATAGTATTTACAGATTGCATATTATTATTATAGGCCAGGTATCATTATGATTTGTATATATTATCTCTTTAATCTCACAGCAACCCTAATAGAGAAATGCTATTATTAGTCCCATAATACAGATGAGGGACAGTCACAGCCAGGTTCAGCACCATATCCTAGGACACACAAATAGTGGGTAGGAGATTGAAGTTTCAAACCCAAGCAAGTCATGCACCCTTAGGAACTATACCATACCACCTTCTGGTGTAGGCTGTATCATTGTATACAGGATGAGTATCCCTTATCCCAAATGCCAAGGGCCAGAGTGTTGGAATTTTCTCCCTTTGGATTTTGGCATATTTGCATTTTTATAGTGCGCTCTCTTGAGGATAGAGCCCAAGTCTAAACACAGAATTCATTTATGTTTCATAGGAACCTTAAAAAGGATTAAAAATAGCCCCAAAATAATTTTATACAATATTTTTAGTGTGCCTGTGTTTTGATGATGTCACATGAGGTTAAGTGTGGCATTTTGGATTTTTGGATTAGGGACTTTAAAAAATGCCTGTAGTACTTTTCTGCTTGAGTAGAAAATTTTGCTAAAGATTAAGAAGTAAATATAGAGTGGCAGTGCTACATGCTCACTTTTTCATGTTCCTAAAATTCTCTTTAAATTTCAGCTTAAACTAGAAGTGTTCACTAGCTTCTGATTTAATTTTGAAGTACAATAACATCTGGAACATGGTTGAAAACTAAGTAACCCAAAAAACAGGTCTGGGAGAGCCAGAATTGCTGTTGCAGACTGTGTATTAAGTATAGGTGTTTTCCCTATGGGATAGCCCCCCACTCCCTCATTTAGAGTCCGGTAATTACATGTAGTCCTTTTTTTTTTTTTTTTTGGTCTTTTTGAGACAGGATCTCACTATGCAGTTCAGGTTGGCCTTGAGCTCACTTTGTAGCCCAGGCTCATCTCGAACTCGCAGTGATCCTCCTGCCCCAGCCTCCTGAGTTCTGGGATTACAGGCGTACGCCACCATGCCCGGTCGTACATGTAGTTCTGACTAGCTTACTTACCTAGTGACCCCTAGCAGATTAGCGTGAAGCGCTGTGCTAGGGATAAGACATGCTCCTTAGAGTTCATAGTCTGGCAGAACAGTAAGATATAAAAACACTTAGAGATAGCAGTGTTCCAGGTGGGAGATGGAAGTCAGTGCAAAGTACAGTGGGGACCCAGAAGAGGGAAGTAGATAATTCTACCTGGGGTGGCAGGATACCAACTTGAGGAAAGATTTCCTAGAGAGGGTTATTATTTTTTTTGAGACAGGATCTCGCTTTGTGATTCAAGCTGGCTTTGAACTGACTATGTAGCCCAGGCTTGCGTCAAACTTGTGGTGATCTTCCTGCCTCAGCCTCCCGAGTACTTGAGGTTACAGATGTGTGCCACCACGCCAGGCCCTGAAAGAGTTATTCTTGAAGAGTAAAAAGATGAGTAGGCTTTCCTTGGGTGGCCAGAGGGATAGCATTTAAAAGAGCTGATAATATGTGAAGAATAATTAATTCAAAAAATGCATCAGAATGAGGCCATTTCCCATTGGAACAAATGACCTTACACGTCATTGTAAGTATAGTTCTGTAACTTTTCAGTAAAATGTAATAAACCTCCTTTAGAAAGGTTTCTATCCAGCTGGATATAGGGGGGCATCTATGTAACCCTAGCACCCTGGGAAACTGAGGCAGGAGGATCATGAGTTCGAGCCCAGCCTGAGCAATTTAGCAACTTGTTGAGGCCCTGTCTCATAATAGGAAAGAAGTGGCTGGGGATCTGGTTCAGTGTGAAATCTTGGGTTGGGGTCAGTTCATAGTACTGAAACAACAACAACAACAACAACAATAAATCAACAACAGAAAAACCCTTCTATCCAAAATTGTTGAGAACTGAAGCTTCAGTACTTGAAATAAGAAGGCTTCAGCTGTCTGTGGATCACAAATCTAAGTGTACTTTCTGGGTTAGGGATCAAACCCTGGGCCTCACAGAAGCTAAGTATATGTTCAAACATTGAGCTACACCCCCAGCTCAATGTGGTGTGATTTTCTGAGGGTCACGAATAGAACTGAACTTCTTTTGGGATTACTGATGTTAGCAGTCATGATAATATTTTTGTATTAAATATTCCTTTCTGTTTTGTTTAGCCTCTACAGCTTTTCTTGCTGATAGCCAGCCTCCAAACCGCAAAGCCCTTGCTGTGTATCCTGTTTTCCTGTTCTACTTTGTCATCAGTTGGATGATTCTCACCTTCACTCCTCAGTAAACTGGGGAACAGCAATTTAAAATCAGTGAACTAAAGGCTCATCAGAAAGATACCATTCACCACAGAGCTCTAACATTAGCCCTTTTGTCAACTTTCGGAGATTATTAAAAGGGAACCATACAGCACTGTTGTCACTTATGTAAGGAACTGATGTTTGCAAGGCTGGCCTTTCCTCTCAATGTTATTTCTCTCAAGTACATGTGCGTACTACACAGTATAGTGCCTCTTTAAGGCGTGATGAAGTCACTGGTCCATTCGGGTGACAGCTAATGACTCGGGAAGCACATAGATACATCCTATAAGTTGAATAGATAACTATTTTCAGCTTTGAGAAAATCAGTTCAGGTGCAGCTCTGAAACACATTGCCTTATGACTATTAGAATATGCCACTTGTCATAAGTAAGAATGGATAATCTATATCCATTTTGTTTTTTCTCTCTTTTAAGCTTCAAAAGGCAATGACAGAGATTAGGGATGGGGTTCACAGATGTGGGAGGAGAAAACATATTAACCAACACTCAGATTTTGATCAGAGGTGATTCAGTACTTGTTGCTTTATTTTTTTTAAATTTAATTTAATTTAATTTTTTTGTTTTTTTTCTGGTACCAGGAATTGAACTCACAACTTTGCGCTTGCCGGGCAGGCGCTGTGCCGCTGAGCTAAATCCCCAGCCCCAGTACTTGTTGCTTTAAAAAAGAGCAAAGGACAGCTAAAGAGTCGGCCTCTTTGGTCTTTTTGGACAGCTACCTTTCTGTCATGCTTAACAGCAAGCACTTGCAGTAAACTCTGTAGTGTTTTGTTTTGAGAGAGGATCTTGCTGTATAGTCTAGGCCAGCCTTGAACTCACTGTGTAGCTCAGGCTGGCCTCAAATTCCTGGCAGTCCTCCTGCCTCAGCCTTCTGGATGCTGAGATTCTAGGAGTCCAAAACCACACACAGCTTTCAGTCTTTAATGTTGTTCCCTAGTTCTGCATATGCAATCTAAGATGTTAGCAGTTGACATGTAATTCTCCTTTGAAATTTTCAAATGTCCATTGTTCGGGCTTATCCAAGTAGAAGACCTTAGATATTTAGATTGGTGAATCTCTAATGTATATTATAATATGATTCCTTTCTCTTAAGCTACAGCATACCTAGAAGGAATTTTTCATTATTTTGTATAGTTGGACCTTTTACTAGAAAGTCAGGCTAAATCAGGAATCTGCGTTTAACGAAGTGAACATAGAGGGATTTATTAAAAGGGACCCATACAGCACTGTTGTCACTTACATATGGAGCTGATGTTTGCAACACTGATGTTCTAGTGTTTTGATGGCTGATTCAAGCAGCAGGTAAGGCATGACATAAGACGAGTTGAGTTTAAAGCTGCTGCTTTTGCAGAATGGGCTTAGCAATTTTTTCATTAGATGTGTCTTTTGGGTTGGGGAATAGCTGTTTATTTTCTAGGTTTTAGCTTTATTAATAAATAAAGCCAATTATAGCTCTTTTAGACAAATACATTTTGCACATGTGCACCTACTTGTACTCAAAATTTATGTACAAAGTGTAGAGGTTTTTCAGGGAGCTGAGAGTCTGGGACAGGCTGATTCTAAGCTAAACAGGACTCCTAAGGTAATACGAAATTGCACATTAAGGAACTCTAGGAGACAAAGATTAGGAGTCAGGCAGAAAATTCATTGTAAATAGTTACTTATAAACATAAGAATTTCTTATTCCACATTTTTTGTCATAGAGTATAAATATTCATTTTATAAAGACTACCTACATATAAATACATAAGTCTAAGAATGTAATTTCTCTATCTCCAGATTAACCAAGGAAATAGTACTAGGCCAAAAGGATTCTTAAAAGACACTCAGTTATAAAGCATTATGGAATTTGCCCCCTCTGGTCCAGCCTTGTCCAGGACTTTTGGATATGTATCTATATTCATTGTAATTTACCTTTTAAATTGTAAAATAAACCCTTGTAAGGACAAGCCCAGTATTTCAGTCTTGAGTTGTTGAGGAAAGTATTTTGAAACTAATCCTGATTTTGAAATTGTTTCCAAATTATCCATTTCCATTGTCTGAAATTTTCTAATATCCCAATAAACTCTCTCTCCCAAAATTATTTTGTAATCTGCCTGAATGGTTATAATGTAAAGTTAAAGAAGTAACCATGTTTCAAAAAGGGAATGAAGACTACCAAAGTTTACTCAAGTGGAACATTTTATTGGAAAATCCTAAGGCCACAACTTAAGGAGTATGTGTGCCTGGGGGTGTGGATTTTACATACTGGATATTAAGGCAGCCTTTTCTGTGTATTAATTTGTTCCTCTTCAGTGACTTGGCAAATGATTTTACGTGGTTAAAATGAAGGTTTAGGGCCAAATGTGGTGGTTCAGTGTTACAGCAGTTGCTTACCATATGTGATGCCCTGGGTTTAATCCCTAGCACCAAAAAGAGAGAGAAAGTAAATTGTAAGCTTAATTTTTTTTTTCTGAAAGTGAATGATGATATTTTCCAGTATATGCAAAAAAATGCATTGCTTTCTGCCCAAGTGTCTAGAATACCCAAGTGTCTAGAATTTGTAAACCTCAGCACAGCTTTTCCTAATTTGCTGTACAGACACATGGCTGGTTATAGAAATAGGACCGAAAGGGCAGCCAGTTCTACAGATGAAATCCTGACGCAGGTATTGCAGTGTTTCATGCTTAAAGTGAAATGTAGTGTGGGTGCATTGCTGCAGAACATGGGGCGTCGTTGCTATCATGGATGCTGTCTTGCTGTTCTACTTCGGAGACTGAGACTCCATTTTCATATGCTTTAGCAGTAGGAAGGGTGAAGGCTTGGTTTCTTTTTTTTTTTTTGGTACTGAGAATCGATCTCGGGACCTTGCACTTGCCAGGCAGGCACTTGTGCCGCTGAGCTATATCCCCAGCCCGAAGACTTGGTTTCATTTCTGTTCAAACTATGAAAACTCAGTTGATGACAGCGTATTTGAATGTACAATATGGTCTTAAAAGTCAACCGTGAATTATTAAGTCTTTTGACTCTTAAGAGGGTTTTTTTGCAGTTACATGTTTTTTTGTTTGTTTTTCTTCCAGTACCAGGAATTGAACTCACAACCTTGTGCTTGCCAGACAGGCGCTGTGCAGCTGAGCTAAATCCCCAGCCTCTTAAGAGGGTTTTTTTTAACCTTTTTTTTTTTGTCTTTTTGAGACAGGGTTTTACTGTGCAGTTCAGGCTGACCTTGAACTCACTTTGTAGCCCAGGCTGACCTGGAACTCAGTGATCACCCTGTCTCAGCCTCCTGAGTGCTGGGATTACAGGTGTGTGCCACTATGCCCAGCCTTCTTAAGAGGTTTCTCACCCAAGTTAAATTTGATTTTTTCATTGTGGTGAGATTTTTCTGCTGTTGGGCAATGTCACAAGGCATGGGACTGGTAATCATTTTACTATTGACTTTTTAAAAATATAAAGTATCTTTCAAAATGTGATTGGAAGGCCAGCTAGCAAGCATGTATTTGGAGGTTTAACTATGTACTTTATATAATTTTACCAACTTATTGGATTTGGACTGCCTGTTTATTCCTAGAGATAAAAATGAAAATGTCTCAGTTCAAATTTGTGGGTAACATCAATTCATTGGAATTTATCTAAATAATCTCATGATTTAATAAGACATCCACTGCATGCAGCTATTTTAGACCAGTGTGAAGCACTGAAATTGTAATTCCTAACTAGACTGTTCATTCCTGAGACATTTGGTTGGAAATAAATATATGGATGTTGATTAATCCATGTATATAAATTAGAAATACTTTTCTAGATTCTGTGAACTTTCATTAAAAATAGAGACTTTCTGGGAATTAACTTAGGCAATAGAATGGTCAAATTAATAATAACAATTATATCACTACTAATAATAGCTAATAACATTTATTGGGCACTTACTGTATACTAGGCACTGTTCTATTTTTTCTTCTTTTTCTTTTTGAGGAGGGGCGTGTACTGGGAATTGAACTCAGGACCTCATGCTTGCCAGGCAGGTGCTGCACCACTGAGCTATATCCCCAACCCCTTATTTTTAAAGATTTTTTTAACAGCTTTATTGCGATACACTTTGCTGTTAAATTCACTCATTTAAAGTGTACAATTTAGTGGTTTTTAGTATATTCACACATGCACAGCCATCATTGCTATCTAATTTTAGAACATCTTCATACCATAAAGAGGTCTGGTCCCATTAGCAGTCAGTCCCGTTCCCTATTCCACTCAGTCCCTAGCAGTTCTGCTTTCTCTCCCTATTGATTTGCCCAGCTCTATTCCTCAATGCTGCTTCTTGACATCAAGTGCTACAGTTCTCGTTTTAGAAGTAGGAAGTTGAAGACAGAAAGGTTAAGTAAATCACCCAAGGTCACACCGTAAATTAATTTGTGGTGCAGTTTACTTATTAGATGAGAATATAGTAGGACCCAGCTTTGAACTGCATTTGTTACATATATGAAATGAACACACTCCTTCCTTGGGATATGTTCCCTTGTTGGTAGCATTTGCACCCTAGAACTGATGAGGTAGATAAATCGTTTTTTCTCAATAATTTTAGGAACACTGCATATCAGTGGCATCTAAGCAGAACACAAAAGCCATCTTACATGGGAGGAGTTAGGTTTGCTCCCCTCACCTTTCGTTGATCTCCTTTACTCTCCTTTTCCCTCCTACTGGCCACCATACACACACATCCCTTTTTGAAATTTGAAGAATCAAATTCCCTGCTCTTCTAAGGCTCCCAGAAGGATGGTAATGCATCAAAGTGTAACTTGTCAATTTAAGTGTGTAATAGTGAAGGGAGGCATTTGGTTACAGTGACAGTAATGTTTCTAAGACTTCAGCGAGCATTTGTGTGAGAAGAAAATAGAATGCCTTTCTAGTGGTGGTAAAGTAGGTGATAGGAAGAAATGACAGAGTAACGACTTAGCCTTTTTGAAATCAGTGCCCCTGGTAGGAAGTAGCCACATGCTGCTCTTGGTCACTCTCTTTAGGAGCCTTTGTTCTTTGCAGTCACTGCTGGTAATCTTGGTCCTCTTCAGTATTCCACTTTAACACTGATCTTTCCTATAAATGACAGCCCAGTGAAAGAGGAAACCCGTACATAATTTGAATGTTAAATATGTAAACAAAAAACACCAGACAAGGAGAATTTATATATGCCTATCCTTGCAGTGCATA